AGGGGAAACTGCGAAAATGCGACTAAAACGAACAATTTTATCAATTTAAGCTAAATGTTGGACTGATAGTGTTCTTTACAACTTAGTAAAGATCCAGTGATCCATGGAAATTGACATTCAGCCAGGAATCATGTTGTCTGACATTTATGTTTGCCTGATTTCGACACCGGGGAAATAAAAACAATATAGACCTAAACATAAAGCAAATTTGCCCGTGAACGCTTTATAAAAATACAATATAGGTAGGTCTAAATCCGGGTGATCATTAGGGTTGGGTATCGTTTGAATTTGAACGATTCTGATTCCGATTCCTTGTTTCGATTCCGGTTCCTAACGATTCTCGATTTCGATTCTTTTAAGAGGCAGGGTCAAAAAAGTTTAGCTAACCTTGCTAACCAACGGCCTTTCTGAAGGAAATACTCCTTCTGTCACAAATACTTGTCACAAATTTTGCATTTTGCCTAGATTTCGTTAATTTTTAGAAAAGTGAAGCCACACTTTGGACCGCCGACGTAAGCTACTCATGTTCGACTCGCGCGGTTATGCCAACACTTCCGGTAGACGCTTCTTCGTTTGTTTTGTCCAGCGGTTTCTTCTTCCGCTCGGCGGACTGTGAATATCGAAACTAGGAATTGAAATTTTAACTTTTGAACGATTCCGGGAAAAACGAAAAGTTAGTCCCGGTTCCAATCGATACTCGATTCTCGATACCCAACCCTAGTGATCACTTATATCAGTGTTATATATAGCCTATATCATCATATCGTCCAGCCCTAAAACTTTATAGTTTTTTTGGGGGGTCAGTGTTTATTAAAAACCATCCAATAATGCAGAATATGCATTGATAAATATTTAATTGATGAGTTGTTAATATATACATAACAATACACAATATATGGGTTTGGTTTTACAGCTAAATTCAGCATATTGACACAAAATGATAACCGCAAATCCACCTTTCGCTGACTGGAGTCCAGTCGTTTCAATCCATTTGCTCGTCTTTCTATAGCAGTCTGTAAAAATATACCACTGATTTTTTTTTTGTCAAATCTAGTTGTACAGTCAATCTCAAAGCTCTTTCCCACTTTATATGTGTTGTGTTTGTTTTTTGCTGCATTCACAATGAAAAATACAAATACAGCCGCTCAGTCTTTTCGCCACTCACTGTGAGTAACTGCAGGCGCTCCGGCCGACGGTGACGTCACGCGCACACCCTCTTGCCTTGGCAACACAAATGGTGAGGTAGTGAACTGAAGTTAGATTGGAGAAAATAAAAAAGAATGATTATAAGAATTAATGACATTTAATTTTCACTTTAATTCTATCATGAAGATTAAATCCAACAGCATTATCTGTGCCGCCTATAACATCTAGTATAATCCAAATGTAATTCAAAATGTATTAAAAAATGATAATAATAATCAGCACTGCCTTACAGTCACTTTGTCTACAACGTGACATGGTGCGACTACAATAGCATACAATAGTACTGCAGAACACAGTGTAAAAAGGAAATATTTTCCTTAAAGGAGTAGTCCACTTTACGCACAGTTTTATAAATGAGACCCCAGAACATAATAAATATTTTTTTGATTATTGGGTTTTAACTAAACATTTTTCTCCAAGTCACACACAACTGCTTGGTTTGAGTCCATTTGTATGAATGCATTGATCTGTGTCAGGGAGAGTTCCTGTGCATTTCCAGCAATACAATAGACCATGAAGGTCAAGGAGCTGGAATTTGGAAGATCATTCTGAGTAGAAGATCATGAATAATAACGTTGTGAGAAGATTTCCAAGGCTTAAATCTACCTGAGAGGTTTATTTTTGAGAACTGGCCAAACAAATCTGACCGTCCTACCAAAAACCTTCATGCCTAGGATGTAGAATCATTACAAGCTATAGACCATTTGCATATGCAAATTGAAAACAAGACCTTGGGTATAGAAACAAGGAAGTGGACTTCCAATGTTGGCACCTACACATCCGCTGATAGTGCTTAGCATACTTTAGGCACTTCACATTGGTTTACGAGAGCCTCAGTTAAGGAGAAGATTCTGAGTTAATAGTATATTTATTTTTTGAAGAGCTTTTGAGCCTCAGTTTGGCATATTCCTAAAGTATCAGACTGAGAAGATCATCACGCTAGAGTGGACAAGGGTGGTGGCAGCTTCACGCTTTGGGGATGTTCCTCTGCGGCAGGGTCTTGGAAAACTCCAGGATAGAAAAAAATGCATGGTGCTAAGTAAGGGAATCTCCTGAGGCAAAGACCTGCTGCATGTATGCAAGAGGACAGAGAGTTCAGTACATCCGCCTACAGGACAATTACCCCAAATATACTGGAACATGCTAAAAGAACCACTGTAATGGCTTAAAGCCACAAATGTAGATGTCCTAGAGTGCTTCACTTAAAGGAGTAGTTCACTTTTAAAAGAACTTTGGCTGATAATTTACTCGCCCCCATGTCATCCAAGATATCCATGTCTTTCTTTCCTCAGTC